TGACCTTGAAGCCAAGTTCCTCCATGTGACGTGCTTGGCCATGCCTGGCACTGGCTTCCACAGCAGTACCAGCCACTGCCCTCGGCATCCGGCTCGCAGCCCCAGCAGCATTGGGTCCTGTGTCCACGTGTTCTCCTGGCTCCTGACGCTGGGCTTTGGTGGTCCTTCCTTCCTTTGTTCCTCTCTCAAAAACTCCTGCTTGTCCCTGCTTCGTTTGTTCCCAGGAGGACCCTGACTAGCTGCTGGCTGGCGACCTATCTCCACTTTAGGACGGCACATTTGGTCATAAATTTCTCACATACTCCAGTTAACAATGGGTCCCCCAGCACACACGGTCCTGCTAGAATCCTGTCTCGTTGACATTCTTGTGCTCAGCTGTCGTCAATCACCAGGTTGGCATATTGGCATTTTCTGAATATAAGTGGTCAGCATTTCATGGCAAATGCGGCTGGTCCTGGCCCCCGTCGGAGGCTCACAGTGCTTCTGCTGGCTGCCCGGGGCAGTATTTAGAGTTAGTCTGCGGGAAATGCTGTGGAATTCTGTGGCACACCTGTGCTGGCTGTGTGAGTGAGCGGGGCCACTGGTCCCCCTGTTGTGGTCACAAGTCAGCTTCTTTATGAGGCAGATCAACCTGGAAGAACTCAGTCTGTGGGCTCCAGCTCTGCCTCTACTGAGCCCCTTAAACACATGCACACACATGCCACCAACACACACACACACACACTCTCTCTCTCTCTGTCTCTCTGAAGCCATGACCTAGAACCTAGTCAGGAGATGGCCATGTGGGTCTCTGTGCTTCTGTGTTTGGCGCCTGGTAAGGGGAGGCTGGCTGTGCTCTGGATCCCTCCTTTGCCCACCTGAGCCAGGTGAGTGGGGTTCTCAGCCAGCACTTACCTGGTGTTCTGAGCTGTTTCATTTTTCTTTCCTTTTCTGTTCAGCAAATCTCAGATCTGTCCCCAAAGCCCTAAATTAAATTCGTGTTCAGCTCAACAGATGTCTACTGAGTCCCCGGGTCCCATGGTAGCAGCTGCCATTGCTGAGCGACCACATGGCCCGTCCTGTTTGCTCCTCAGTCACCTTGCCTGTGGGCGCTATCACCTCCTCTTCCTAGCAGACCCAGTGCCCATGGCCCAGGGAGGACAAACTGCCTGCCCAAATTCACCCAGCCAGAGTGGCAGAGGTGATGGGACCCACTCCCGCCAGAGCCTCTGAGGGGACTCACATGCTCTCAACAGGGACAGGGGCTCAAGCCCCTTCAGGCGTGGGCGATGGGGCAGGGAGGGCGTCACACTAGGCCTCATTCCAGACTCCATCCTGAGCCACACTGTGGTGGGGGCACACTCACAGCTGGGTGTGGGTAATTCAGAAGCCGAGGCTGCCGCCTCCACGGAGGCCCTCGATATTGATTCATGGATGATCCTATTCTGTTTTGTGTTTTCACCTCCTTGCCATGCTGGGCTAGGGACCTGGCCCGACTGTCCTCTACCCTGCCAAGCCTGGGCATGCAGGGCCTTTATGGAGGCCCCTTGCCATGGGGGAGAGACCAGGAGAGCCTGGTGGTGGCTCAGCCAGGCTGCACCTGTTTCTAATAATAACATAAAATCACCTTGCAGAACTGTGAGAGCCAAGCCGCCTGAAGCCCGGAGGTGCCCTCCCCTGCTTGGCACCCAGAGCAGCATCTTATTTGCCTGGGGGAGAAAATCTGGTGCCTAGGATTTTTCCTCTGCCAAACAGCTACTTTCCCAGCGTTTCACCTGCGCTCTTTCTTTAGAATCAGATCTCTGTGTAACTTAGGGCCTCCATTGTTCATTTGAAAATGAGGATGTTAATTCAAAAACGGTGATGCAGCTGGGCACGGTGGCTCACGCCTGTAATCTCAGCACTCTGGGAGGCCGAGGTGGTTGCATTACTTGGGGTCAGGAGTTTGAGACCAGCCTGGCCAACATGATGAAAACCCATCTCCACTAAAACTACAAAAATTAGATGGGCATGATGACAGGCACCTATATTCCCAGCTATTCAGGAGGTTGAGGCAGGAGAATTGCTTGAACCCGGGAGGTGGAGGTCGCAGTGAGCCGAGATCGCACCACTGCACTCCAGCGTGGGTAACAGAGAGACACTTCATCTCAAAAAGAAAATAAAAAAGGAATACGGTATGCTGATGTCCCCAGCACAGGTTGAGCCGAACAGATGCACCAGGTCTTTGAAAGGACAGGCGGAAGTGCAGTGAATGTGAACCTGGCCCTTCCTCCCCTCACCTGTCCTACCTCATTTAGCAGGATCGTCTTTCAGGTCCCGTGAGAAAAGTCATGGTAATAAAAACATAATGCTTTAATCAGTAACACTCATGTCTGTGTTTTAGCTTTTTATTTGGGGAATGGGCAGATATACACAAAAGCAGAGTATAGAACATCCCAAGCCCCAGCGTGTTCGTCTCCCAGCACCAGCGATGGGCAGCACCTGCCCGTTCTGCCTCACCTCTTTCCTGCTGCAGTATTTTGAAGCCGAGTCCAGATAGTGTATCTAAAATATAACTTCCTACCTTGAACCCCCACAATAGCTCTATCACATCCTCCCAAATACACTTATGAGTCCTTAATATCATCAAATACCCAATCAGTGTTCACATCTCCCCAGTTGCTGATCTTTTTGTCCAGTTGGTAGAGTCCAGATGCACACAAGGTGCGTGCCTCTCGTTAGGTGGATGTGTTTCTTGAAGAATGGGGTCCCCGTGGGGGGCACTAGGCAGGAGCCGAGCAGCAGGGGCCTCTGGCTGGCCTCTGACTGGGGCCTCCACTAATTCTGCTCTTTCCAGCTTTACCTGCTGGATGCTATGCGCATTTGATTCCCACCTTAAATGTGACTCTGTACAAGCCTGGTTTTCACTTGTGGGATGGAGTCTGGTTTCCTGCCTCTCTTTGGATTTATTAGAACATTCTGTGTCCTTGGCTGGGTGCAGTGGTTCACACCTGTAATCCCAGCACTTTGGGAGGCTGAGGTAGGCAGATCACCTGATGTCAGGAGGTCGAGACAGCCCTGAACAACATGTCAAAACCCCATCTCTACTAAAACCACAAAAATTACCTGGGTGTGGTGGCATGCATCTGTAATCCCAGTTACTAAGGAGACAGAGGCAGGAGAATTGGTTGAACCTGGGAGGTGGGGGTTGCGGTGAGCTGAGATCATGCCACTGTACTCCAGCCTTGGTGACAGAGCGAGACTTTGTCTCAAAAAGAAATCATTCTGTGTCCTAGGGTGAATGCACATAACTTTCTAAAATTTCTAGTAGCTATTAAGTTGGTTAATATCACTTTGCTGCTTTTATAAGTCAAATGTGGTTGACTATTGGCAATTTCATCTAGTTCGACCTAACAAAAGATATGATTTAAGTTGTTAAGTGAAATAAGAGCCAGGAGCAGTGGCTTACTTTACCCTGTAATCCCAGCACCTTGGGAGGCTGCAGCAGGAAGATCAATTGAGCTCAGGAGTTCGAGATCAGCTTGGGCAATATAGTGAGACCTTTCTCTACAAAAAAAAAATAAAAAATAAAAGTTAAAAAATGAAATAATTGTAATATATGTGTTGTACGGGGGGTCGAGGACCAGCATGTGCACAGTGGTAGTCTGTCAAATGAGAGAGATTGAGTAAAAGCAGACATCTGCAGCCTGAGGCTTGCCTTGACCTTACAGGATTCTTTCAGTGAGTCTCTGTTTGTTTTATATAACAGCTGTAGTAAGGATGATTCACATGCCATACAATTCACCTGTTTAAAGGGCGCTGGCCTGGCTCGGTGGCATGCCTGTAGTCACAGCACTTTGGGAGGTGAGGTGGGCAGATCACTTCAGCCCAGGAGTTCAAGGCCAGCCTGGGCAATATAGCAAGACCCCCCCATCTACAAAAGATTAGCCAGCTGTGGTAATATGTGCCTGTCATCTCAGCTACTTGGGAGGCTGAAGTAGGAGGATCACCTGAAGTAGAAGCCTCAACCTCCTGGGGAGGTTGAGGCTGCAGTGAGCTGAGATCACACCACTGCTTTCTAACCTGGGTGACAAAGTGAGCCCCTGTCTCAAAAATAAAGTGTTCAAATTGTTGTTTTTTTTTTTTTTTTGTATATTCAGAGTTGTGCAACTATTATTGCCGTCAGTTTTAGAACATCACTTCTCCTAAAGAGACCCTGTACCCATTCGCACTGACTCTCATTTCCCCCTAATCCCTTATCCCCAGGGAACCACTAAACTACCCTCTGTCTGTGGGGATTTGCCTATTCCGGGCTTTTCCTGTAAATGGCAGCATACAGAGTGTGGTCTCTAGTGTCTGGCTTCTTTTGCTTTGCATATAGTTTTCAAGGTTCATGCCTAGTGCCGCGTGTATGTTTCCATTGTACAGAATGGCCACATTTTGTTTCTCCATTCGTCATTGATGGACCTCTGAGTTGCTTTCACTTTTTGGCTGTGATGCGTACATGCTGCTGTGAAATCTCTGTACAAGTTTCTGTTGCACATGTGTTTCTTTTGGGCATATTCCTGGGATTGGAGTTGCTAGGTCCTATGGTCTCTCTGCATTTAGCCTCTTATGAACCTCCAAACTGTTTCCAAAGCACCTGCACCATCTTTCAGTCCCACTGGCAGTGGAGGAGGGTTCCGGTTCCCCCACATCCTTGCCAGCACTTGTTCTGTGACTTTAGGATCACAGCTGTCCCAGCTGATATTGTAACAAAACCTTCCAGCAATATGGGATATCTATAGAGGACAGGGAAAGGGCTGTTTTGGAGTGGCTTGGCATATCAGCCGTGGTCTTTTTTTTTTTCAAAAGCTCCTGAGGAAGCCCCACATGGTGTGTAAGCAGAGCGCATGTGGTCCAGCACCCTGCACCCCTGCCAGCCTCGGCCCTTGCTGGAGGCTAGTGGGAGGGGAGGGCTTGACTTGTGACTTGTTTCCAGGATGTGAAATGGTCTCCCCCTGCCTCCATGTCTCATCTACTGAATGCCCCTTTCTCCTCAGGCGTGACCATGAAGCTCATGGACGAGGTCGCTGGGATTGTGGCTGCACGCCACTGCAAGACCAACATTGTCACAGCTTCCGTGGATGCCATTAATTTTCACGACAAGATCAGAAAAGGTAACCACTCTTCTGGCAAAGAGGAAGGAGGCAGTGCTCTTCAGCCGCTCGGGTCCCTGCACCAGACTTCTTTTCATACCCAGGGTCACATGGGCCTCGGTGTGTGCCCATCTGCCCCAGGGAACGGGAACCTGAGGTTTCTTGCCTTGTCCTTGCTGTTTATTGACATGATGTTTTAATCTGGTAAAATCCATGACTAAGATATGATGGGGCCGTTATCCTCCTAAAGACTTGCCTAAACTCCCTTCTGAAAATGCTCCACAGATGGAGCTCCGGGAAGGTCCTGTGCCTACAGCTGCCATGACCCTAGACACCAAACCTCGCAGCAGCACGTTTCATTTTGGGAGAGGAATGAATGATTCATGATGTAAGCAGTGAAAGGATCAGTACAGAAAAGCCCGCAGGAGCCCCTCCTGGGCCAGCCCTGCCCACGCCACCCAGGGCAGTGCTGGCGTTGGGCAGTTTTTGCCCATGACAAAAATCCAATCCCAGCTACCTGGCCCCGCCTGGAAATGGTGCCTGCTGTCCCTGGGGTGCATGTGCCAGCTCAGGAGGCCAGGCCTCTGCAGTTTGTATGAGCAGGGGTCACCACGCTTGTCTCACATTACCGCTTTCTGCAGAAGTAAAGTGAAGTGCCCCCAACACATGGCGATTTCTCTCGGTGTCATGGCTCCTGAGATGAGGCCGTGCACCGTGCAGCCCCTGCCGCAGCCCTGCCTTGAAGGCCGAGGGTGGTGTCAGCATCATCAGGACCTGGTGATGACTCTGAGGACGCCTCATTAAAGCAGCTCGTGGGAGGAGCTGTCAGCTGAGACCAGCCCCTTGTCCTGAGAGGCGACGGAGTGGAAGAAGTGCCAGTTTGGCTCTCCTCACCGTGGCTCCTGCCCACTAGAGCCCAAGCAGGGGCGGCCCAGCCCTGGTGCTCCCTCTGGCAGCTGCTACTGCAGAACACGCCTGGCAATGGGCAGCCCAGGACCGGGCAGAAGCACCCAAGATTGGAACGGTGGAGGGTTGGCTCCCTCCCTGGAATGACGGATGGGCTGACACATGTTGGATTTTGGGTGCTCTGGGGTGAGGAGAAGGATGGTCTGTGCCATTGCACCCCTCCACTTTGCAGAAGCCCTCTTTTTTTTTTTTTCCGTGATGTGGTCTCACTCTGTCCCCCAGGTGCAGTGGTGTAATTTCTGCTCACTGCAGCCTTAAACTCTCATGCTCAAGCAGTCCTCCCACCTCAGCCTCCCAGGTAGCTGAGACTGCAGGCATGCACCACCACAACTAGCTAATTTTTGTATTTTACATTTTTTTTAGAGACAGTGGCTCACTCAATCTTTTTTTTTTTTTTTCAGCCGTTTCATGCTTGTTGCCCAGGCTGGAGTGCAATGGTGCAATCTCAGCTCACTGCAACCTCCGCCTCCCAGGTTCAAGCAATTTTCCTGTCTCAGCCTCCCGAGTAGCTGGGATTACAGGCATGTGCCACTGTACCCAGCTAATTTTTCGTATTTTTAATAGAGACAGGGTATCACCATGTTGGCTAGGCTGGTCTTGAACTCCCAGCCTCATGTGATCCACTCGCCTTGGCTTCCCAGAGTGCTGGGATTACAGGCGTAAGCCGCAACACCCGATCTCAGAATCTTTTCTTGACTGATAGATGTTTGCCTCAAACGTAGACCACAATGTCATTTTAGAATCTGCCCAAAACAAGCAGGTCCAAACAAGTGTTTCAGCTTGTGCCCGACAGCCCTTCGTGCAGTGCGCGGTGGTGTGCGACCCTGCAGGAGAATCTGTGGCATCGTATTCCATGCCATTTTTTCTAGGACTCCTGCCTGGGTAAGTCACTATTAGGGCTACCTTGTGAAATACAGCTGCAAAGTACATAGTGGGAAATGTGCGTGCATTCCACAGGACTTGCCATGCTCAGTTGTCCTTGAGTGTCCTTGGAGAACCATCAGGAAAGGAATAGACTTTCCAAGATGGTCACTCTGTTTGCTAAATGTCAGCCTAGTCATCAGATGTTCTCTGCACAAAACTCGGCGAAGCACCCAAAGAATGAAAAGGCAAGAGCTTTGTTAGAAATGAGGAAGCCATTCAAGGGGGAACATTCAAGGGGACTTCCCCACAAAGTCCCCACCTTTCCGGACGAAGTGGCTCACACCTGTAATCCCAGCACTTTGGGAGGCCGAAGTGGGTGGATCACTTGAGTCCAGGAGTTCGAGACCAGCCTGGCCAACATGGTGAAACCCCGTCTCTACTAAAAACACAAAAACTAGTCAGGTGTGGTGGCAGACTCCTGTAAACCCAGCTACTTGGGAGGATGAGGCAGGAGAATCGCTGGAACCTGCAATGAGCCAAGATTCCACCACTGCACTCCAGCCTGGTGGACAGAGCAAGGCTGTGTCTCAGAAACAAAACAAAACAAAGTCCCCACCCTCAACTCCTTGTACAACCGGAAATAACTTTTAAGGGAGAGCGTTAGGAGGTGCGTTGTGGTTCGTCAATAGGAATGATTAATTTTGAGGGAAAATCAGGAACCATAGTCCGAAGCGAATGCTTTTTCCAGGAATTAGCTTAACAGCCTAGAAGGCTTCTGGGGCAACGCACACGAGGAGCTGCTTTGACAGGCTTTCTGCAAGGGTACATTTCTTCTAAAACAGGAGGGGACCTTCACTTTTAGAAGCTGGAATTTCTGGCAGGACATTCGCTTGGATTGGCTTCCTTCATGCTATGAGGGTGCGGGGCAGGCTGGGTGGGGCTCGCCTGATTCCCACTGTCCTGAGCCACACCCAGGGCCTGGCAGTGGGCCCTCCAGGCCCCCACCTAGTCTCAGCTTTGGCCAGAGCCTCCTGGGTGAAACCTTGGGCTCCTTACCCGGAACAGAGAGACCCTTCTTGTTTTCTTAGATGACATCTTGTTTTGTTTATGGAAGAATTTGGGCCAAACTGAAATAGCAGCCATGGAGTCTGGCCTGTTTCTGTGCCAGCGTCCTTCAGGGCCTATTGGACGCTGTCGCATCCAGGGGCTGTTGGATGCTGTCACACTCGTGTGTTGTTTTCCAGAGGATTGTCACACCTGCTGGGTTGTTTCCAGGGAGGCGAGGGCTGTGCTGGCCGAGCAGGGCCAGGGTTGGTTGTCAGAGCAGGGTTGTGATGCTCGCCCCTCAGACACTGTGCCTCAGATCAGCTCACTGCCTCCCACGCTTGCCCCTCGGTAGGGAAACAGAGCAAGGCTGTGGGGGGAGGCGTGGCCCCTGCTGGCTCTGGGTTCTGGGTGACACTGGGCAGGTGTGTGACAAACTGCAGGGGGCCGGCCTCACGGTTCCCATGTGACTTTCTCGCGGACTCCGCTGGGTCTGCTGTACACCCTTGCGCCCCACGGCTGCCTCTCGCTTCAGCCATACCATGAAGGGGGCCTCCAGGGCCAGACCCTGCTGCTGGGGCAGGGGCACACATTATTGTGGATTGTCCGAGTCCCTGTCAGGAGCCCGGGGAGCCGCTGGCAGGCACAGAAACCTCACCTTGGGTTGCAGGCAGCACCTGGCGGAGCTTTGTGCTATAGAGAATGGGTGTTGCTTTCTGGTGGGCTACAAACAACCAACATCTGCTCGCCCGTAGTTCTAGAGGCCACAGTTCTGAAACCAAAGTGTCAGCAGGGCCAAGGTCCCTCCGAAGTCTTCAGGGGAGGATTCGTCCCCGCCTCTCCCAGCTTCTGGGAGCAGCAGCTGTTCTGTGATGTTGCTTGGCTTGTGGCTGTGTCACCCCAGTCTGTCTCTGTGGTCACAAGGCCTCCTCCTCTCTGTGTCTTTCTTCTTCTGTCTCTTACAAGGACACTTGTCATAGGATTCACAACACACCTGGAGAATCCAGGGCGATCTCATCTCAGGACCTTTTGCTTAATTATACCTGCTAAGACTTTTCTTCCCTGAAGGCCCTGTCCTGAGGCTGTGAGTAGATGTATCGTTTGGGGACCCACTACAAACGCTTTGTCTCCGTAACTCATGTAGAAACTAGCTCACTTCCACATTTTTTTTTTTTTTTTTTTTTTGAGACGGAGTCTTGCTCTGTTGCCAGGCTGGAGTGCAGTGACGTGATCTCGGCTCACAGCAGCCTCTGCCTCCCAGGTTCAAGCAATTCCCCTGCCTCAGCCTCCCGAGTAGCTGGGACTACAGCCTCGTGCCACCACACCCAGCTAATTTTTTATATTTTAGTAGAGACGGGGTTTTACCATATTGGCCAGGATAGTCTCAATCTCCTGAACTCATGATCCGCCCACCTCGGCATCCCAAAGTGCTGGGATTACAGGCATGAGCCACTGCGCCCGACCATCACTTCCACTTTTGTAAAATCATGAACTTGGTCAAATCCCCTCTGGGATTCACCAGCCCCAGGCTGCCTCTATCTCTATGGATGTGGGACCTGTCCTGTGAGACCCAGCGTGACATTGACATCAGCCTGGAGAAGGGGCCAATCTGAGGAATGCAGGGGGAGTGACCCCAGCAGGCCCCCAAGAACCCCCCACTTTTGAGAAGAGCAGCATGCAACTGGGCAGGGGACTGGCCCCAGTCCCTGACTACAGAGAGCAGCCCCAGTAGAGCCAAATGAGAGACTCTACAGTAGCAGGCCTTGGGGCTATGATGAAGGGGTGGGGCCTTTCCTCTGAGTGGCAGGGAGCTGGGGTCAGTGTCAGAAGTGGGAATGGATGTGACGTCTTCTCCGCTAGCACCAGGAGGCAGCAGTTTTGTAATGACAGGAAATAGTCACATAGACCAAGGAGTTGCAGTTCTTTGTGTTAGGGCATTGTGTTCGTATTCATTCAACCTTAAGTATAAATTCAACCAGCATAAAGATTACTTTCAAAATTGTATGTTTGTGGAAAAGGTGCTGGTGCCAGGTGGACTGGGCACATCTGGGCGGGGGGAGCCTGAGGGCACAGCAGGGCCGTGGCAGCCGTTCACAGCCCGTGCCCCTCACGTGAAAAGCCCTGAGAGCCCACTGGTCCCCTGGGAG